ATGATTTTTCGATAATTTAATAAATTGCTCGTGGTTATAGATGATTGATCGATTATTTGGTCTAACAAGCCGTTCACCTCGTAATAAGATATCGCAAACTTGTTGCCTATACTTGAGATATAATGCATCAAACAAAGGAAATTTCGTTAAAGTATACTTTTGCATATAAAGCCTAACAAGTAATTTGTGCATTTTATACAATTTCACATTACAATTCCATTTTTTGCATTTTTTGCAATTTCTACTCAAAATTGCGCAGACTCATCAATTTCATTTTTACGGATCTCAATTTTCTAAAAATACATCATATTTTTACGATTGATATCTGTTGCCCATAAATGTATATTCTAGAAATTTCGCAATTTCCTTAATTCAGAACATCCACTTAAAGTAATTTTAGCTAAAGATAGCAGAAGGTATTTACCATGTTCTTGTCATGGAAAGTGTTTACCCGGATTAATTATTATATTAAAGTTATGGAAGTAACATTATCGTGCTTAAACAAAAGAATGGAAGATTCAAGGCACGTTCAATCGCGAATCTTCGTAATAGTTCACGTGACAAATAAGAAGTCGCTTCAGGCCTGAAGATTAACCCGTATCACTCTTAAGTCCCTGAAGTACAATCCAGCGAGAATACACAGTCAAGTTTCAGGCGGTTCCTTTACGACTTCGTGATCTGTCGCGCTGACCCTTTACAATAAATCGTCGGTAAAACTACATAAAATAAAAATCAAAGACTAGGCGGATCGACTATTTTCAGAAACAAACTTATATAGAATCGACGATATTTTTTTTACAATTTAAACATTTTTAATATAAATGTCGTGTGTGACACAAGACATGTATCATAAAAAATTACAACGCGTGGCAATTATAAATATTGAATTTTCTCTACTCATCTATACACATTTATTGATAATTGTTTACATAAAATACGATGAGCACACTTTTGATATAAAAATGATATAATAATATTTTATTACAAAATTTTTACTAAATTACTTCATTTTCTGCAAATTGTTTTTTAGCAAACATTTTAACAAAGTTAATAATGTTATTTAAATTTAATGGTCATTTAAATGATGAAGGGACGCAAACAATTACATAATATTTTATTTTGCAACGAGATACGTTTTACGCGAGTAAATGTTTTTGTAAAAAATACAAAGAATATTAAACGTATTTAATCAGAAAAATCAGGATTCATTGAGAAATTGGTGTTACGCCACGTAAATTCTTGAGTATAAAATACCGCCGCTTTTACGTCACCGCGTGCTACTTGTAAAACGAACCGTTTACCCGCATTACTTTTCGGAATAATTTGAATATCGATCCACGATATATCACCCGCTTTCGCGTAATATCAGTTGTTTTTGCGATACCCGCACGTTTACATTTCTGCGGTAGCGTAGAATACGACACGGTGCTATAAAAGCTTTCGTTATGCTTTGCACGATCACGTAATGAAATAAAAATACTTTTTTTATGCGCACGATATTCACGGTACCAGTTTTATTCGCTTAAATCCCACATTAATATTGTCTGTTTTTACTATAAAATACAGCGGCAAGATGTTTCGGTAGGAACATTACATAAATCTTTCTTCAAGTTGAATCAACTATGTTCTATGGATGTGAAACGCGTAATGTCATTATGATGGGGTCACAATGATACTACTATTCTTCTATTCTTTTTTATATAAACTCGTAGTTTCGTAGATGCATCAATATTGTTCTATAATTCACGAAAGCATGCAGAAGAAATTGTTCGGTAGAAAAAAACCACGGTGTAATTTATTCTATATCATGAAAATATTGATTTCCGATGTTGATAATTACTACATCACAACTCGATGTAAAAGTTTTTTATAAGCCATCATCAATTAATAGAAAGACATGCATTTTCAATTAAGTTGCATACAAGTTTGCCTCGATCGTATAAACTTTCGCACTTTCCAATAAATAATGAGTTAATAACATAATATATTCTATGAGCAATATAAAAATTATATGAAGCATAGCAATTAATTTCGTATTATAACACGTAGATAATGTAAATAAGAATTCTATTTTAAAGCATTCATTATATTACGTATGAAAAATTATCTAATTTTAATATGACAAAATATGAGAGATGTGATGTGTGAAGTTCAATCATACGATATCTATAAATATGCATTTTACAATTGCTTGAAAAATATCTAGATATTTTTCGCTGCTAACGTACGATTTACAAGCGGGGAACTATTGGACTGCCTTTGTACAGGAAAAGAGAAAATACGAATTCTCGACAAACTCTTGTAATTTCTCCTTTCGATTTCGAGTATTTCCGGATCGTAAATTCGGGCAAGCTTTAGATTGAACAATGCTATTGCGCAGATTGAAACGTAAGAATGATTTATCTGCACTTTTGAGTTAACAGTTTGAATTACGTATACATATATTTCGTTCGAAGTAATACCATTTTCATCGCACGTAATTGATAGATCTTTTTTTACATTTGATATCCTATATTAATGTCATATAGATACAATATAATTTAAAGAAAATATTGGAAGATGTCAATTTAAAAAAGCGTTTCGTTGAAATATGTGAATATTTCCCGAACCCCATTTTAAGATCGATCAGAGTTTTAACCAAATGCGCGCGTTATTGGCAATTGAGAAAAAGTCAGTTGACGAATGATTCAATATCACTGACACTTTTGGTCTGTCGCATAGCAGTAATCGCGACGCTCGCCTATCGATCGTTTTTGTTCCTCACAAAGATATGCAGACTCGCGCTCGTGTACTACATCGGATATCGGTTATCTCAATGGGAAATTACGTTACGGCTATCGATCCACGGTAAACATCGATAGCCAAGCTGGTTTACGTGTTTATCTGCGGCGAATCGCACTGGGCCGTTCTGAGAGAGATGGAAAAATATCACTTTTCCACAGCGGAAAACAAAAGGTCGTGTGTGTGTGAGCAACATCCCTAGGTGTGCCTCTTTCCAATATACAAACACTGTACACGTGCTTCTAGGATTAATAATAAAGAATGAGGATTTAAGAAGTATGTCATGATAAAGATTCAGGAGAAAAATAATATCCCATGGGATAAATCGTTGAGAACATTGTGATGTACTTGGACCAAATTAGATACGTAATTTCAAGATTAAAGTTTGATTTCCGATAAAATTTGAAAAAAATTTTTTATATTATTAAACTACTCGTCTTATGAAACTCGTTTTAAGATTATACACTTATATATATATATATATAACAAATGTAAAATTGATAAAACATTAGATAGAAAAAGCTTAATATAAATAAGATTTTCTTAAGCATTGTTAAGAATTGCTTAAAAAATGCTGTAATAAATGCCTAAAAATTTGAAGATTAGTGAGCACTATAATATACATAATTTTTATCAGCTGTTTATTCCTTGATTTTAATAAAATAAAGCGGAAGAATCATCGCTTCGCTACATTTCATATAAAAAATCCTTTTAAAGACTTCTTAAAAATTTTTTTAATAACGTCACTTTTTTCTTCAGATTGTTACGAACAAAGTAGAACTTTAAAATCTAAAGTAGAAGATAATTTCAAAATAACGCTGGTTTTATCTGACTTTGTACTCTCTGTAATCTTTTACATGGTCGTGTTTGGTCGTCTTTTGTCGAAATAAATTTACATTTCGACAAATGTGAAAACAGAGGTAGATATATATGTATATATAAGACGAGGGTCCATTCTCGAGGGTGTTTTTCTCGAGTTCTTGATTACTTCCTCAATCAGTGGTCCTACGATCAGAAACCGTTGTCAAGAGACAATATGAACGGTACAGAATAAAAAGGAGCTCTTGTACGGAAACGTGCTGCGCTTTATACATCGAACACGTACATTCGATTATTTAGGGTGGTGGCTTAAGTCGCGATCTCGCCGAGCAGCGGCTATTCAATGAACTTTGTAGCAGCACAAAAGATTAATGATGTAAAGCGGAAAAGAGATCGCCTGGAGCGCTATTCCATGCGCACAAAAATGGCTTATACTTGGCGGGAAATGGATTTACTGTGTTACAGTTATTACACCGTAGGGCATGTATCTCATAACGGTATTGCGAGCAAACTTGAACGAATTCTTTGATGCCAGCTCTGTATCATCTCGAAATTAACTGTGCTGCAAAGGAACTATGTTCAGATAGTAATTGGTCGTTATTCAAACATAGAGCGGACTTAATATTTCTTGTACTTTACTTTATATTTCCTGAGATTACAATTTTAATTCACATGTCTTACTATGCGACTACAAAAGCACAATTGAACATCGAGATTGAACATGAAGATTTATAAATAAGATTTGCAATGCTTCTTAAAGATCGGTGCTTGAATAAAATCAATTTAAAATTGAATCGCGTGAGGATCATCACATCATTATCATGGCGATCGCTATTCAACATACGCGATTAATTAAGTCATATCGATAACAAGATTCTACCTATCAATACCGGATGTGTTTATCGTGACGAGCTTCTGTCTCATTGCTTTATGATGTAAATATGCAATCAAAAATTTTAATCAACATGCTAATGATACTTTGCGATATTACAATGTGAATTTGCTGAAATGCATAACATTTAATTTGACCTCATAATAGCACTCATAAGAAAACAATGACTGCCTATTTGTCCCCTATCAAACTTGTATAAAACACTCGTAAAAATATCTGAGAAAACATATCGGTTTTCACATTTTACTACCGTTCTCTCTTTCGTGGAGATACAAGATTAATAAAAAGAGAAAAATGATAGCACTCTCTCGATACTCTCTCATCAATTTTTCTTGCCTGGAGGTTTTTCTGGTCGCTAACAAGTTTTCGGAAAAAATATTGCAACAAACAAAAAAAAAGTTACAACACGTGCAAAGATTAAAATTGAAAGCTTCATTAGCGTAACTTTATTGCGATAATTGTGACACGAAATTGTTATTTTTTATACAAGTGAATTTTTTACCACCAGGAATTTCGCGGCACAAATGATGAAAGGCCGTCATCAGTTTCGTCGTCGTTTCAGTCTACAACCTTCGGCGCATTTAAAAGAAGAACAAGAAGAGGCACCACCGAAAAATGTCAGGTAATATTAAAGTTTCTATCGTGACTGCAATTTTTCGCTATATTTATCAACTAATAAATTATCAATAATTAAGCAAACCTAAATTATTTATATATAATTTTTTTTCAAGAATAATTAGAGTATTTCAAGAATAATTATTTTTAAGCTGCCTTTGATTTTCTCTCACGTAAAAACTATAAAAGAGCTGACATATATTTTTTATCTTTTTTTTGTTAATTAACCAAATTATCACATATATACATAAATTATACGAATGTAAGCCAGACATAATCAATATATTACGATTTTTGCCTTTGAAAAAAAAAACGTTGGAAGACATATGAAAGGATCAATATTAATCTTTTTATTCCTTTGACCGTCATTTCCTCCACATTTAACCCGCGGGAGGAGCGTTCTGTGAAGCAATATGCAGATACATATGTACGGAGTGTTCGATTTTTGATATTACATATATCTCTTTGGTGGCTGGAGTAAACTGAAAGTCCATGTACAAGACGTTATTCGTGTTCGAAGTAATAAATCACAGACCGGAAAAATTGCTTTCAGCGTGAAACCCATTCGGATTCGCACACGACACATCTTGCTTTTTCTTTGCGGTCCCCTTTCCATCACCAGCCATTCCTCATGACTAGTTCTTAGGTTTTAACCGGAGCTTTAATTTCACGGCGAATCCACGCGAAAAAGGAAGCTCACTCTTCCGCTTTTGTGTGCCTGGTAATAACCACGTCTGACTTCTTGTAATAAGCGCCGATGATTACGAAGACGAAGATACTTAGAAGCAGCTGCTGTTATCTAGTGCATGTAAAAGCGACTGTATAGCCTTGCTGTCGTTCACAACGAGCGATTCTAGTACCGATAGTGTGCCACGAATTCAGGACACCCTATACAAAACTGTGATATTCAATAACACTCGCTCCTCTATTGCGAGAGAGATCCTTCGCGTTCATTAGCGTAGCATTCTCTTTCTCGGATGATTGTCTCTCTTAAACGAAATGTGGTATCTCCTTACTTCCGCCATCATGCCACAGAAGAGATTTTATCCTATGTTCATTAATAAGAGTCTCTTGTATAACGAATCTTATCGTATTTTACAATACCAGCAGCAGTTTATATATATTTAAAGAAGTAAATTTGCATATTGTAATGAGAAATGTTGATGAAACACCCACCAAACCTTGTTATCAAAATGTAATATCACTTTGTAATATCACATTGTAATATCACTTGGCTAAGATACATAAGACGTAAATTTAAATACGTCTTTTCGTTATTAATACAAATTCTTATCTTCCATTCTTTTCATAAATTATTTATGTCTTTTAATATTAAGTTTCTATAATATGATTATTGCAAAACATATTTGTTGCAGTAAAATATCTCTTGTCTGTTTTTGTTCAAATCATTTTAACATGATGGAGAAACATCAACTTGCATTATTTGCATTAATAATCTTTGTGAACTTCATGTTGAATTTTTTAAATGTCAGTTGTATCCCGTGGCTAGTTTTTATATTTACATTTTTACATAAATCTGAACTTTCTGAAATGTAACAATGCTTATATTGGATAAATCATAGTTAATGAAAATGGCATGTTATTTCAGAAATGACAGGCTGGCGGAGTCGGACAGCGGTGGCGGAAAATCAACTGACAGTTCGATCCGACACAAAATTGTAATGATGGGCGCAGCAAAAGTCGGCAAGTCAGCGATAATTAACCAGTTTCTTTACAGTACTTTCACTCCGAAGTATAAGCGGACCGTCGAGGAAATGCATCACGGCGATTTCAACGTTTCCGGGATCCATTTGACTCTCGACATTCTCGACACGTCCGGCTCGTACGAGTTTCCAGCAATGAGAGATCTATCGATCAAATCAGCCGATGCCTTCGTTCTGGTTTACGACGTCAACGACTCTAATACGTTCCTCGAAGTAAAGACCCTTAGGGCTCAGATACTCAGCACGAAAGGAGCCGTCCCGATCGTGGTCGTTGGTAACAAGATCGATCTCGTAGAAATGGAACAGGAGGTAATTTTCGGCGGCAATAAAATGATCGTCACCTTCAATTTCTTCTGGAACTTTCAGAGTTCCGTTTACGGAAGAGGCCATTAAATGCAATTGCATTTGTTCACTTTCGAAAAAATTCATCTTACTATTGGAATTATAAAATCTTTTCCAATGTTGAAGAAAATTGAGATTTACCGTGTCACGTAATTCTGGAAATTTACATCCTCGATATCTGATTAAAACTCGATAAGGGTTGAATGTTTGTCCCAGTTCCGTATAATCGTATAATCCGAGATCAAGAGATAGGAAAACTTATACATCAGAACACTTTTAAATCCGATAATCGTAATATGCAGATAGTACAAATTCAAAGAGTATGCAAGACGAAATTTAAACTTTACTCATATCATAATTTGAATGCGTATTTCAAAACATAAAATCGAACTTTAATTTAAACTTTTGAATGCATATAGTAATTAATTTCAAATTCCATCCCAAAATATAATTTAAATTAAACCGCCTATTATAAACATATGATTATATATATATATATATATATATTTTATCTCCTCTAATTAATAGTTACAATAATGAAAATAAATTATAGGTGGAAACCGAGAGCACGAGAGAATTAGTTACTACAAAATGGGAAAATGGATTTGTGGAAGTGTCCGCCAAGGAAAATCTAAACATTTCGCAAGTATTTAAAGAGCTTCTCATTCAAGCCAAGCTGAAATATAATCTCAGCCCTGCGTTGCAACGTCGTCGTCGGCAATCTTTACCACCACCGCAACACATGAATTCACGCAGCAGCAGCACCCACGTGCCGTCCCCAGCTCAGTTGCAACATTTGCAACAGATTCGCGAACGCTCCGACTCTAAAAGAAACTCCTGCATTCTATCATAAAGCGAGATTTTTGCTGGCACTGCCGCGCGAAATCTCTCCTATGTCTTAAAGTCTACGCATACCGAATCAATCGGCGTCCAATTATATATTCGAAAATTATTTAACGTGACACACAACAGTTAAAGAGACCCCAAAAAGTCGAGAAGATTTTGTCACAGGTTACGAATATGATATAGATAGCTATGCGGAATTTGATTGCGCAAGACGGCAAAGAATGTCGTACTAATTCGGTATTCGTCCATAAAATATTTATAAAAATGTTTAGGCAAATTCACGCATTCGAAAAGTTTTGCTTTAATGCAATTAATTTTATTTATTTAATAATAGTTTTTTTATATACGAGTGATTGGGTTTTAATGAAAAATAAGAATTGTGTATTGTATATTACTGGTATTGTATATTACTCAATAAAAAAATAATAAATGTTACTGAATCAAAGATTACTTTATAAAAATGATTAAAAAAAAATCTTTTAATATCATCTATAATTTTATAATTTGTTTTAAAACTCAAAAATTTCTGAATATCTTTAGTAATTATGTAAATCACACTTTGTTCAGAAAAAGAACATATTGCAAAACTTACTCGAACGTGTGCAGAAACACTAGAATCTTGTCTCATACACAAATAGTTTAGAAGAATAATATTCTAAATACTTAAATGAATATATCAAAACACAAGAGTGTGTTCAGTTCCTTTTGTTCAATCTACTGGAATATTTCCGATTTGATGAAAACGTACATAAGTCATTAACAGTTATAACAACAATGTAAAAAGAAATATCATGAGTCTCTAAATATCTCTTCTTTCAACTTTGTGATAACTATCTGTTCTAACAATGAACACTTTCAAAAAGTCAATTTCTATTATCATATTGCGTGAATAAAACATCATTAATTTGGTCGAGTACGAAGAATATTTGATAGTTTGTAGATATTTGGTAAATATATCAATTTGATTATTAGTATTTCGATTAGAAAGATATAAATATCAATTCTTTTCTCCTACTTCTGCAACTTATTGTAAGCAATTTCTCTACTTGCCGCAAAACGAAACGGACTGATAGTACTATGTAGCAAGTCGTTTAAAAGGATTGAGAAGGATCAAAGATGGTGCTAAATTCATCTTCGTATTCTATTAAATTAAAAAATTAGAATTTGTGAAACTTTTTAAAAGAAATTGCTAACTTCTGAATATGTGCAACTTCAAAGATTTCTGAGAATTTTTGTTACTATTTGCATTAAGATATATTGACGAAACTTTATAATAATGTAACGTTAAATACGAGCATTTTTCCATTTTGTCTTTTGACTGCGATCGGAACAATGGTCTAATGGAAATGAACCAATAGAGTTACTCGTGTCTCTTTCAATCAAGTTTATATAAAGATAATAATACTTCCGAATTATACAATTACGTAGTTTTATTGTTGCAGATACATTTTAATATCGTGTTTCAGGGTTATATACTTCGCACTGCCCGGCTTTTTATTATCATGAATTACACATATATATATTATAAAATTCAAGAAGATAATATGACAAGGTTTTATCAACTAGTTCTACGTGTATGATAAGAATTGGTTCTATCTCATTATTTAAATAAATATACTTTGTTATACTTAGTTAAAACTTACTACAAATACTATCGACATCAATATCTGTTTCCTTACAATATCAAAAAAATGCTAACAGTGAAACAAGAGGGAATCAAAGAAAACGTCGCAGTATTACGCACTAGTAAATAAATGTAAATTTTTCCGTATTTATACGATCCTATGAATCAAGCTCTTCTATTACAAAACTAAAAAACAAAATATTCTATCTATGATAAAACATGAGGAGTTTCAAATACTTTCAATTTCAGTATGCTGAGTGTGAAAGATGCAAATAAATAAAAACCTACACTTCAAATTCACGTATCAAGCGTAGAATCTGTGCAACATTTCACAGATTGGTTATTCAAATGTAATAAGACACTTTTTCAGCTCCTGTTCATACCAATCTAGAAAGTTTATCTAATGTAAATACTGTCCATATGTCGTTTCATTTTCAAACTAGAGCTCCGTACGTTCATTTTCAAGTATATACTCGATATGTGCACGAAAAAATATTTATATATATGCATCCCATGTATTAAACATGTCAGTTGTTTCAAATTGGAAATTTGGAAATTAGTAGCAATCTGCTAAACTGTTGATAAAACTAATACTTGTGCAGTACACTTCCAAATTCAATGGTATAATATCGAAGTATATAAAAAACAATTGTGCTTGTTAATGTACATTCAGATACGTGTTAGATGTAATATATATATAGATTTATCTTTATATGCTATTCTTTTTCCACAATATGCAATTAAATTACATTTAATATAATACTTTTGACATAATTTTAAATAGTTAATGATGATAACATAATTAATTATCATACAAAAGAAAGATTTTATTATTCACATTCTTTATCAAAAATAAAAATAAAACAATTATAGTGGGAATTAAAAAATAAATTTTCAAAATAATGTTTAATTAATTAATTTCCTATGTACAAATCTAGAAATTTTGTAATTTAAAATTGTGACCACATGTATGTTTTTATTATTAGATTATACTGATAAAAAGAAATCCATGCTTAGCTATTTATATCACGAGAACTATATTTCAATAGCAACCTATATTAGAAATATTAAATATCTATGTAAATAATGACATCGACATCTTGCTACTTTAAAAGCCCACATTGGGTTTAATTTTACACGAATATACACAATTAAGCACTTTAGTATAACTTTTAGTATAAATTGCATATATGTATATGTGTGTGCCACTAACTTGATGTTTTGTTAGTATTAAGCAGCCACAATGTATAGTTTAAATGTTTCAACTAATCCAATTACTTATATATATAGAAAGTGATAATTTGAAAACGATTATTATTTGAAGAAAATACCTTGCTTTTATTTTTACTGTATATTTTTCTTCATAATATGAAAAAGTTTATCGTTACGACACTATACATATATTGGGATTTCTAAGTATAAAACAGAATGTTATTTTCTTATACATATTCTAATGCAATCTCTAATAAGAGCGTGTGGGAAAAATATAAATTAGAAAAATATGTCGATATAATATCTAAGAATTAAATAAAGATATGATTAAAGCTAATTTATTTTATAAGTATAATAATATGACTGCAGCCTTTTCTTCTCAAATAAAATATATGGCAACAAATACTAGTTATATATACTAGCATTTGACTTTGTATTGCGTTATTGCGTTATTGCAAATTAATAAATAAAATATGCAGTATTATAAGAAATTATAAGAAAAATTACCTGCTTCTCCACTCTATTATAAAAACAAACTATTATTTTTCGTTAAACCGAACAATATTAATGTAAATTGCCTACTGGATATAGAAATATTTATGTTAAAAATCAATTAAAATAATTTTTAATAATATTTTATAGCTGTAGAGATAAAAAACCAAACGAGTCTTTAGAATTTCTTTTGTTTTAGGCATTTAAAATGAATAATTTTGTTATTATTTTAACCTCAAATAGTGTCGCTTACAAACACTAAAATTTTTTGCTTTATATGGTTAAAATGTTAGAATGTTTGACAATTTTTTTACTTGTCTATATTTTGATAATACTAAAAATTGATACTTTTTAATTATTCCTTGGACCATTATTTTCAGTTGGTAAATACGTAATGTTAAAAAATTAAAAATAAATTAGACAATGCAATTTTACATTGATATCCTTTTTTATAATAATAAAGTCTAGCATATAGTAGATAATTTTCTTATTTATCGATCTCATGTATTTACCATCATAGCAATGTTAGAGATGCGAATTACTACGATGAAGGCATTTTCTATATATTTATAACGGATCTTTAATATCTCATCAATGCAATTATTGGAAACAAATTTGATAAAGAAAATAATATTGTATTTGGAGAAAAAATATGATTCTTGTAAATTATTTCTTTAGATGGCGACACTATCCGGAAAAAGATTCCATGTGACCACGCTATAACAAGTTCATTCATGTTTCATCTGTGCATTCCGACACGAGTAGCAACGAATCGCCGGTTGAGGGGCCAAGAACAAGCGACGATCGTGTAACTGTTACGTCGATCACACGTTTCAATCTACATTTTGTAAAATTGTGACAGGAATCATGATGAAGCATCCACATTTTCGATTAAAAGTCGATTTGTCCAAGTTTTTTCACGATGCACGTCAATGCTGTTGGGTTTTTGTCGATGGAATAAAAATCCAGCAGGTTATGCATCTCAAACAACACATCAGTGAACTGTTTAATATCGCAGAACCTTTCCATTTATTATTAAATGATACCGAATATTTGCCACCAGCAGAAGATGTGCGTTTATTAGAGAATAACGAAATGGTTTTGTAAGTATACTTGCATTTTATCCACATTTCTTTTCAGTTTAAAATTCTGATGTAATTTTTGGTATACGTATATTACAATTATGGGAATTGTTAATTGCTAATCATATGTAATTTATTAGCAACTGAATTAATTGCAGGGTAGTTCCTGGATCAGGCATAACTAATGGGATTGTTCATAAAGAGGAATTATCTAACGATTCTTTAAATAAAGAGACCCAAATATGTGATATCAAAACAAAAAAAGATGTATTCAATAAGCTGGATGTAGCTAACAATATGTTGGATAATACGCAACGAACCTCAATAAGTTAGCTGATTTTACTCATATTGTATTATATAGAAATAAATAAAGCAAAGTTAATAATAAGTTATATGTCTATTGTTTCAGATAATACTAGAGATATAACATTCTACAGCGTAATCGATGAAGACCATGCAATGCTTGATGATACAGACCAAGATACAGATTCTAAAGTTACAGATAACAATTTAACAGAAGATTGGAATAGGACAGAATCTGTTGTATCTATTGCAAAAAGAAAACGAGTACGGAAACGAAAGTCAAAAAATCGATCTTCATTCGTATCACCTTCAGATACAAAAGAGGAAGATAAATTAAAGAAACCAAAAATCATAGATTCCTATATTATTCCTACTGCAAAACATATACGATTTGATAATATCGAAAGCAAAGAGAATAATATTGCGAAACATATAGTGCAAGAAACGTCTACGAATGAATCTTACGTAAGCAGAACATCGTCTACAAAAGACCTTTCCATGCTTTTATCACTAGGACAAAGCTCCACACCGATAACATTTGTGAACAAGAAGATCAAACATGACATTAAAATGGACACTGAATTAAATAATGGGTCAAAAAAAAATTTAAATAAGATTATAGAGGAAGATATCAGTTTGGAAAATAAATTGTGCAATGAAGAAACTAACAAAAATTCACAAAGTTTCAAATACTTTACTCAAAATATAGAAGAAGTTCCAATTATAACTAGGAAACCACAAGTTAAAGATATAATTGCCTTTAAAGTATGTACTATACATCATTGTGTATTAAATTAATTATATCTCTTTTTAATTAGCATTATATTTTAGACTTTGAAGATTGCTGCGGATTATACACCTCAAATATCGAATTTTATTGTAACTGAAGTGCTAGAACTATGTGAAAAGACTGCAACTTATACTCTTAAAATACTTTGTAAGTGACACTTGCATTCATTCGCAACTTGTATTCATTTGCAACTATATCTGTTTACAATTCAGAGGCAGTTTGATAATATGAAATTAGAGAATTCAATATAAAGTGATACATTGTTTTATCTTATTTACAGATGGTAGAGAGGAAGTTCAAGTGCCATTTGGAAAGTTTACTCTTTCTGATGATGAATCTACAGATCAACCTGATAATAATATGTTTCTTCTTAATTATGCACAAATGAAGGAACTTCGTCTAATTAAAAAACTTTCCTAATAATCTTTTACTTGAAATACTTGTTTCTATTCTTTAATTTTACTTGAAATACTTGTTTCTGTTCTTTAATTTTATCTCATTCTATTTCGAACGCAACTTGTACTACACGTTTAACATATTAATTTTTAATTTACTTTTCCTGTGTTTTACACTTAACTTGATTATCAACTTTTTGTGTTTTCTCATACATTTATTTTTAGTACTTATGTTAATACACAATTAATATTTAATTTCCTATTCGATATTGAGTTTGTGATACGAAAATGTTCTGTTAAACTGTGTATACGTTACTTTATAAATAGAATAAGTAACTAGTGTTTATATTAAATAAAATACTAGTCAATTTTACATTTATGATATCTTTCATGCCTATCTCAGGGAAAAAAATCAAGATAATAGGTGTCTCATTTTTGTAAGTTACATCTATTATTAAAAAATTTGATAATTTTTATATATATGGTGTAAACTTTGGATTATGGTTTAGCAATACATGTGATTGTTAGGCAAGAATATTAATTTTCTTTTAAGTTATAAGACCACATTAAATTTTTTTAACGGTAAAGTTCTAAATATGGTATTTTTGATCAGATGTTTACAAGATATAAATCAGAGCAGATAAAAACTTTGTGTCACAACATATCAACGCACAGATACTTGTAGCAGATTGTTATAATAAATAATAAGCAATTGAAAAAGAATAATGTCAATATTTTATTCACTCACCAGTCGTTGTATCCTAGCTAAGTCTGCCTTCAGCTCGACCTGGAAAATTTAATATATACTTTTAATTATAAATTCAGAATACATACATATTTATGTATGTTAATTATTATATAATTATTTGTATGTTAAATTTAAATATAATAAATGTGTAAATAATTATTCAAAAATTTTAATGATTTCAATATATATTTAATAATAAACAGGTAATCTTATTCACCAGCTAGGATATTGCAGTTTGCTTCATCCACTGCATCCGCTGCAAATTTCGCCTTAGATGTTCTGCATTAGCTCCATTGAAGAATCGATGAATATCAGGAATTAGCAACTCCAACACATCCTTTTCACACACTCACTAACACTTTTACGCACTTACACATCCGAACACTTACTCGAAAATGGCGAATCATGTCGCGAATTTGCCTCTTTATAGTACATGAAATGCACTGTTGTACCGTATCGCGTTCACGCACATAATTGTTCCGATTTTATTATAATCTTATACATTTCGCGATTTACTCGAAATTATACACGATTCAGAAGAGCATAACAAATAATGAATGCCTTGACGCGCCAAATACAAGAACACATATATAACCAACGATTATTTATCCGATTCAATTCTCATAACCTAAATTTTGGATATTTTCAACATTTAACAAAAAATATACCGCGGTTAGATTCTCCTAAGTAAATATAAGGATTATTTTGCATATGAATGATATTGAAATTTGTATACTAACTGCGCACTAATAACCTATTCAAATACACGAACCGCCGAACGATCAAAACGACATTAATCGCGAACATCGATGGTAAATAATACGTTTGGACAATAACCTGTTACTTTAATCGCCAGTATTGACAAGAATTCGCAATGATTATGCACTTTTATTAAGCGATTGCTACGTATAAAAGTACGCGATGAAACAACTTACTTTTCTCACAGCATTCCCGCTTCGTGTCCAGACCGGAAAAGACTCTGTCGGCCGTTGTGCGCGCTAATCTATCGACTGCAGCGCACTTCACCGGCCGATAAGGTAACTTCTAACAAAGTCTGTTCCGATTTGATTCATCTCATGCAGAGCGCGAACGCTTTATGAAACGTAAATTGTTTAATCGTATATTCTCCGTAGCAATCGTGTAGTAAAGTGTATTATTAGTAATGTATTATAAGTGTAAAATTTTTGTGAACAGTGCCGAGAAAGAGAGATTGAAATGAGCAATTGTCGAAACGTATCATTCAGCATGGAGATTCGCGATTTACGGCGTTTTTCCGACAGACGCTGGATTGTAAATTGAAATAGGTTATACTTTTCGTAAGTACATATCTTGATATGATACGCAAATGTGTAATTCCGTTTATTCAAAGGGATATAAGCATATTTTTCACTTATAGATGTAGTATATTGAAAATTTATATTTATCGGAATTTAATCGGGGATAAAATATGATCGTGCTGTGTACGTATTCGTATCTGATTACTCCACATAAGGCAATCGTCGATTCACTTATATTAGTATGACTATTTGTACAGTGTAAATTACTAAAATAAATAATACAATCGGAACAATTAGTATACATAGATACGATGCGACATAAAATATGTTTTATCTCACGTTTGCGTTTCATGTACATACTATATAGTAAATTCATGACGCAACTCCATATAATCCTCGCTTATTGTTAGATAAAAAATGCGCCAGTAAATTTTTATTCTGTAATGCCTATAATTAATCATTGTAATTGTAGGTCCTCGATTTTCATCGATTCTTCGATGCAGTTGATGCACAGCAGTTCAAGGCAGAATCTACGAGTGAGTGAAGCAATCTGCAATACCTTAGCTGGTAACACTAGTTATTCATTACTTAAAAATTAATTATAATAAAAATTTTAACATAGTAAAAATAAATTAAGCTACTAAAGCCGGGGTTGGTTGACATTGTTCATTTATTAAATTAAATTATTAACAATCCAGTTGTATATGTACTGTACAACTGAATTATTAATAATATAATTTAATAAATGAGCAATGTCAACCAGCTCCGGCTCTAATAGCTTAATTTATTTTCATTATATTGAATAATATACTAAAAAGCTAAATCAATAATTTTATTTTTATTAAAAATTATAATGATTTAATTATAACTTTAATTATAACTAATGGTTTAATTATAACAACATACACATATACAATTATAAAATTTAAATTTAAATAATTATATATCTAATTTATTATAGAAATGTGTTGTATAATTTATTTTAATCACATAATAATAATTTATAAAATATATTTTAATATTTTTTTTAGGTTGAAGCATAGTTAACAGCGTATTTAGTTAGGATATAACGATCGGTAAGTGAATCATTAATTATACCATACTGTATACTACGTATAATTATACAAAATACTTGTATTATCCATTGACCTTTCATTCGTTAATATTTATTATATAATTGCTAAGAATCGTGCTTTTTTGTAATTTTATTCTTGTCTATAATTTATATTTTACGAGCAAATGATAAAGTCCAAATTATTTTCTTTCTATCTCAACAATTAAAAATTTCTTGGAAATATATTTTCCTGATAGTAACAAAGAATGAGATCGTAACTGTATAAAAGAAATTTTAAAACTGATGCAAATGATGATACTGAATTAGATTGGTAAGAATCTCAAGAAAAAGGGATATTTTCAAGCTTTTCTCTGCTATCGAATATCCAACCGAATGATTCGGTTGTCTCGCTTATTTGATTTTGAAGTAAAGTCGTATTTGTCACTTTCTCGAAAGTAAATCGAGCATATAAAGAAATTTCTCAAATGCTTCAAAAATGCCGAATATAATATCAGTCCATCACATTATCATATTATTTAGAATATTTATAATTACCGACATTTAATATTTTTTGATATACTGTCGTTTGCAAATATTTATCACACGTTCAAAGTAACATAGTTCTAACCAGAAGTAGAACCATAGTTTTAATAAATTTGGAAAAACGGCGGTATAGCAGCTGATGAGGAAATTTATTTCTCGCACTATATTTCTGTGATATATTATTTAAAAAATTTGGAAATAAAACACACTAAAAGTCATATATAGCAAAGTTTCCAAGTGAATAAAGTAAATGGTCGACAGCAAGGCTATAAATTTAAAAAAAACTTAGCCTTTTTCTTTACAATCTGACATGTATATACTATTTCTAAAGAAACTTTGCTCAAAACGTAAATCAACAATATATAATCGACATTTGCATAACTTGAATAAAAATTATTCTTATTACAAAGAAAGAGTTATAGCCAGATCAATTAAATAATAATTAGAACGGACAAAATTTTACTTTGAATTCTCTTAATCTATTTTTATTTTCACAGATGTGAAAATGAAAAGAAAGAGCAAACAAAGGTAAAATGTTCCTAATTCCATGAAAATGATTAATTTGATGAAGTTCGTTGCATAAGATAGCATACGGTCGTACGGAAGTTGTAGTTCATAGTTGACACTTCCCGTGAACATGCAAAGCGCGGAAACCAGGTATGAGTTATCGTCTTATCTCCGTTGCAATATGTCTCAGCAACTGTTGTGTCGGAGCATGCAACACCTTTGTTTTGGTTACTCGGACATGAATAATTCAGGAATTAAAATGCGAAAATAAATGTACGCTCTCTCGCGTTTGCTTGGAATGTTAGCATAACGCGAAGGATTTAAATCCACATTCTACAAATAAATTCGCAAAACAATCAGTGAATCATTGTATTAAATGTGTAATGTAAATGTAAGAATTTATTGGTTTTTCTTGTTCCTAAGATAAACATTTTATGTACGTTACGTTTGACAAAATCACTTACTGAGAGAGAGAGACAATTAGTAAAAGTTGAACAAATATTTTGATGCGATTCTACTTTAGCCGTTTATTTCAATATTGACACTCAGAAACTGAAAAATCGTTTGAAATTATTGATGATAGTTAGCTCGTATTCAAGCCAAAAAGCGGATTATAAGTACTTTTACGGGTGAATTGTTTGCATGTTATCTAACTGCTACATCGCAAATTAACGGACGCCAATCATTATGCACGTTGCAATTAATGGCATTCATCCTTTCAATCGTACCTCAATTAGAGCTCTTCACATATTAATTATTTGTGCGTGCTCCTGAAATACGACGGAAATCTCGTTACACGGTCTCGATTTCAAATAGTCTTTCATAAAATAAATATAGCAAGTTTATAGAATAACTAGATCTGTTGAAAGTATGATAACAAAACGTTTTTATCTTCTGTTTTATAAATCACAAAATGCTATAAGTAGTACGCAGTTTTTTTATAAGATTATTAATTTAATGTAAAGAGCGCCGCAAGAATTATGAGTTAAAAAAATTAAATTCTTGATGAGTTCCGATAAAAGCTGGCCACTTACTGGTTGGAGCAACCTAAAAGAAAATATCCGCTGGGATAATTACTCATTTTATAAGAACTTTCCACTCTGACTTTATCAGAGAATTTTTATAAGCTCTTGCATTTTTATGATAAGCAACCTACTTTTACAGTGGCAACCTTCAATCTTTAGTGATAATGTTATTCGCGAAAGTTGTAACTCTCTGAAATTATTTCTCCTTAGCTACTCAAATTCGGTATCGTCGAAATTTTCATTAATTAATTATACAAGTGTACAATATGTGTATGTACATAAGTACTTCACCCGGATATAAAATTAATTTTACTTGAACTTTATCTTTCCGTAATTACATGTGTAATTTTTTATTTCGAGATCAAAAGTAAACTTGTGCTCATAGCACTGAGAAAAAATGAAGGAAACATATTTATGGTATCACAATATTATACAGCGAATGTCGATATACGTGTAAATGCGAACAAAATAAATAGGGCTTCAAGTTGGGTATGTTTCGGAAAGGTTTATGATTTTCTCGTTTTCTTATACAGCTTTTAGCGTAAAAAATGATCGTTTCAGGCT